CAATGATTTGTAGAGACACAGCATCTCTTCCTTGTTTTAATATTCTATGCCTTTGTTTATGAACCCAAGGATCTTCATAACAACTGTTTCAACTTGCCTGGCCAACTTTACAGAATTAAGCACATAATCTCGGAAGTCCCTACCGTTCAGCCTGTATTGACTCTCCATGTTTCTTGTACCCAAAATGCTTTATCTCGGATTTCTCTGCATTGAAATTCATTTGCTGGGTGTCTGCCTATTTGACTAACTTGTCAATGTCCTGCTGAAGCCACTCAGCATCATCCTCACAATTCGCTATCCTAATAAGAAGTTTAGGAATCCAAAACTTTCACAAACCCCTTTGAAAAGGCATCATTTATATAAGTGATTTGGATTTGAACATAGGAGATCTTGTGAGTAAGTTTGCAGATGACACCAAAATTGGAGGTGTAGTGGACAGCGAAGGTTACTTCAGAGTACAACGGGATCTTGATCAGATGGGCCAATAGGCTGAGGAGTGCAAGATGAAGTTTAGTTTAGATGAATGTGAGGTGCTGTATTTTGGAAAAGCAAATCAGGGCAGGAATTATACATTTAATGATAAGTTCCTGGGGAGTGTCACTGAACAAAGAAACCTTGGAGTGCAGGTTCCTGGTTCCTTAAAAGTAGGGTCGCAGGTAGACAGGATAGTGAAGGTGGTGTTCGGTATGCTTGCCTTTATTGGTCAGTGCATTGAGTACTGGAGTTGGGAGGTCATGTTGCTGCTGTACAGGACATTGATTAGGCCACTATTGAAACACGGCGTGCAATTCTGGTCTCCCTCCTATAGGAATGGTGCTGTGAAACTTGAAAGAGTTCAGAAAAGATTTATAAGGATGTTGCTAGGGTTGGAGGATTTGAGCTATAGGGAGAGGCTGAATAGGCTGGGGCTATTTTCCCTGGAGCATCGGAAGCTGAGGAGTGACGTTATAGAGGTTTATAAAATCATGAGGGGCTTGGATAGGGTAAATAGGCAAAGTCTTTTCCCTGGGATGAATGAGTCCAAAACTAGAGGGCATAGGTTTAAGATGAGGAGGGGAAAGATTTAAAAGGGACCTAAGGGGCCACTTTTTCACACAGAGGGTGGCGATTGTATGGAATGAGCTGCCCGAGGAAGTTGGGGAGACTGGTACAATTACAACATTTAAGAGGCATCTGGATGGTTACATGAATAGGAAGGGCTTAAGAGGGATATGGGCCAAATGGGACTAGATTTATTTAGATATCTGGTCAGCATGGACAAGTTGGACCGAGGGGTCTGTTTTCACGCTGCACATCATTATGACTCTATAAAAGCAGTGTTTTAAAAGTGTCAAAATATCTTTGGGGTTTAATCTTCGTTTATTAATTCTACAAAACCAGCTGCAGCAGAATGTCTAGATAAGTGGTATTAAATGGCCCCAAAATCCTCCTTCAATTTACCAACAAACTCAGTGCCTTCCTCCAAAACTTCCTGCTTAGTAAGCATTTAGTACAAGGAAGTGAGATAACAAGGTGTAGAGCTGGATGAACACAGCAGGCCAAGCAGCATCAGAGGAGCAGGAAGGCTGACGTTTCAGGCCTAGA